AGGGATCCTCTGTCCGAGTCGAGTTGCCGTGGGTACAGAGGCCACTGTCCCTTTCAAACTCTGCTCAGTTTGTCTACTTGTGAGCAAAGTAATGATGATTATTGCTGTCTTAAGTGACTAAGTTTTGGAGTGACTTATTAAGCAGCTATGGTAACTGAAATACCACTTGTGAGCCCCAAAGAAATTCTAGCATTTATTAATAAAAGTAAGATTGATGCTGATGAGACACTTTTATCAAGGATAAGGAAAGGTATATGCTTTGAAATTAGAAAATCATAATAACAACAGCAGCAACAATGTCTGTTCCTACCAACTGCCTGTTTCCTTTCAGATCCCCATGAGCTCGTATCTGCTCTGCCCTGAATTCAGTGAACGGCCTTTCTCAGGCTCCTTGGCCTCTGGCTGCCAGATAGGTTTGGCCACCCCTCCCAGCCACCTCTCTTTCTTGTGCCTTCATTTCCGATTGTGGCAATGATTCCTCGTTGTCCTACTATCTGCTGGACAGCCCCTCTCTCGGGGATGCCACTTTCTGCCTGGTAACCCCCACTGTAGTCCTGGCTCCCCCTGACAGCCTGTCCTGGCTCTGACAAGATGTTTTTCTCCATTTGCTCCTGCAGGCCCAGGGATGGCACCATTTATCTCTGTTACTGACCTCTGGGTTGTCTCACCAGACTGCTTGGCTTCTTAGCTTTTCCAATATTAATTCCCTTTGTTTTTTCTCTTTTTTTGAAAGACTTAAAGTGGTTCCTATTTCCTTGCCAGACCTTGATTGAGTGAACCTATTCAGAAGCTACTATGAGCTCCATATTCCAAATGAGGCAACTAAGGCTCAGAGATGAAGCTGCTCAAGGTAGTACTGTTAATGTCCACTCACGAGTAGTGGCGTGCAATCAGAAATTATTTTTTGAATTAAAAGTTTAAATATGATGGAAGTCACTGTTAGGGGACTCAAAGTGGGATTCAGGGGGCTGGAAATATTCTTTTATTTGATCTGGGGCTGGATATATGGGTGCTCACTCTGAACACTCGCTGAGCTAAACGTGGATCGGGGCACTTTTCAAGATACATTACTTCTTCTTTACTTTTAGACATTAGCATTCCAATTTCAATTCGAGTCTACATTATAAGTAGTTTTGTGGAACAGTTATGTGCTAGGTTTGGGGGCTATAACGAAACCTAGAGACCTGGGAGCCCCGTGGGGACGACCACAGTGAAAAGCTATCACAACCTGGATGTGGTTCCTGCCCAACAGGAAGCTCAGAATATGGAAGCTGATAAAGGAATTGAAACGAAGACCTGAAGGTTAAAGATGGGAGGGTAAGGGTCTGCCTGGAGAGAGAGCACCAGGGAAAGGCTACTGAGGAGTGGGCAGAGCAAGGCAAGGAATGGTAGATCAAAAAAGGCTACAGTCAGAGCAGTCCAGCAAAGGCATATCAGAAATGAATTTTCTGGGAACAAAAATCTGCATTCAGAGGTCCTCCTTGGGATAGTGGGATATCAGAAATATGTTTTTCCATGTGGCAGTGAGACAAGACACTACTGATTTTCCCGCTACTGCCACTGCCTCATTGGCAGAAGTTACAGCAAATCCAGGACAGGGTTGGTGTGAGAGGTGGGGAGTTATGGAGTAGAGGTTCCATGCCGTGGGCTCACTGTTATGCCTCTCCTCCCAAACATATACTTTATTTTTTTTAATGTACCTGTCCAATTTTCCCAACACCATTTATTGAAGAGACTCTTTATTCCATTGCATGCTCTTATCTCCTTTGTCAACTATTAATTGAACATAATGGCTTGGGTCGATTTCTGAGGTCTGTGTTCTATTCTATTGATCTATATGCCTGTTCTTATGCCATTGCCAGGCTGTTTTGATTACAATGGCTTTGTAGTATGACTTGAAAGCTGGCATTGTGATTCTTCCAACTTTGTCCTTCTTTCTCAAGATTGCTGCAGCTTTTCGGTGTCTTTTTTGGTTCCATATAAATGTTTAGAGTATTTGTTCTAGATCAGTGAAATATGCTGTTGGTATTTTAATAGGGATTGCATTGAATTTATAAGTTGCTTTGGGTAGTATGGATATTTTAATGATGTTAATTCTACCAATCCATGAACACAGTATATTCTTCTGCTTGTTTATTATCTTCCTCTGTCTCTTTTTTCCGCATCCTATAGTTTTCTGAGTGTAGGACTTTTACCTCATTGGTTAAGTTGAGTCCTAAGTATCTTCATTTTTTGTTTTCTTCTTGTCTGATCGCTGTGGCTCGGACTTCCAGCCTCACAACATTCCTGGGACTCATTTCTTCCTTGAAGCAAACACATGACATCTCTAGACTTGAAGATTGTGCAGATAGCAGACAAAGACAAGTGGTGAAAGTGGACATCCCTGTCTTGTTACTGTTCTTAGTTTTTGCACATTGAGTATGATGTAGGTTTGTCAATATATGGCCTTATTATGTTGAGGTATGATCCCTCTATTCCCACTCTGCTGAGAGTTTTTATCAAAAATGGGTATAGATTTTGTCAAATGCTTTTTCTGCATCTTTTGATATGATCATGTGATTTTTGTCTTTCAGTTTGTTTATGTGATGTATCACATTTATTGATTTGTGAATATTGTACCAGCTTTGCATCCCTGGAATAAATCCCACTTGGTCATGGTGTATGATCTTTTTAATATATTGCTGGATCCAATTTGCTAATATTTTGTGGAGGATTTTAGCATCTATGTTCATCAGGGACATTGACCTATAATTCTCTTTCTTTGTAGTGTCTTTATTTGGTTTTGGAATTAGGATAATAATAGCCTTGTAAAAAGAGCTTGGAAGTGTTCCTTCCTCTTGGAGTTTTTGGAATCGTTTGAGGAGGGTAGATATTAAGCACGTTTGAGGAGGGCCACTGTCTTCCTGTCCCAGCCTGGCTCTCTCCTTCTCCATCCCTTCTTAAAATAGAATGCCACCTCAGCATTCCTGGGACTCATTTCTTCCTTGAAGCAAACACATGACATCTCCAGACTTGAAGATTGTACAGATAGCAGACAAAGACAAGAATGTGAAAATAATGCCCAATGCAATCAAGCAATAAAAAACTAGTTGAATCCAATTAAAGTGATGAAACAACATGGGGGATGGGGTGGATTGACTTAAATAGGAGCAAAGAATTTGATAGTGGTGTAACTGAAACCCAGAAGGTGGGTTCAGCGAAACTAACCATTTCCATCAGAGAAGGTTTGGACTCAAAGCACCCAGTTGGAATAAGTGACTAATTTTTAAAATGGCACGTGTGTCTATTTTGGGTGCTGGAAAAATAACCCTGGAATTCAGATTCTGCCTTGGGCCAAAAATCTCTGGCAAGAAATCAATGCAACTTGCTTGGGATGGGAACATCAACTCATTTTGGGATGCTATAACTGTTCTCCCAGTCACACTGTTCTCTGTGTGCATATAGTTTAGCCTTGGGAAGATTTACAACTAAATATAGACAAATCTAGAGACCCCATCCACAGTATTAACACTTTTGTATTAAAGAACAACAACCTCTGTGTATTTAGTATTCACCATATTTATAATGTTTAAAATAATTGAGTGTATGAGACTACCTGAGCGATTAGCCTTCTGATTTCAACTTGAAATGTGTAATGGAGTAATTGACTTGAGATTTATAATTTGTTGCTGAAAGGTGTAAGAGGATTTTATGGGTTTCGAGCAGTATAATATCAGACTATTTAAGAGATTCATTATATTTATAAATTTAATTTAGTCTGTAAGTACTTGAGAATGTTTTGCTTGTCAGGGTAGGTGATGAATGTGCTTTAAAAAAGAAAATTGAATATGTTAAATTTATTAATGCAGTTTAAAACATTGAAGGAAAATTTAATTAAACTAAGCTTATAAACACAACTGGTTGAAGGGAGTTTAGTTTGTTCAACCTGAGGATATTAATCAAAGCCCCCTTATTAAAATGTACTAGACTTATTAATAGAATGATACAATTTGCATATTAACTTAAAGGCTTAAGGGAAAGTAGGCTTAACAGTTTATCATTTTAAACATTTGAATATAAGTTTAAAAATAATCTTTTCTGTACATATCACCAACCTTCCACCTCTGCTCTTCCTTGGACACCAAGATAAAAAAGAAGAGCCTTTTCATTGTTTTCCCTAAGAACTTTTACTATTAGCAAGATTGGTGGAAAGGAAAAAAGAGGGTTACAGTTCCTGGCCTCAGTGAAACCTCAAGAGTTCAGGAGAAGAAAATAGGGAGGGAAGGCGAGATGCTGAGCCCATGAGGCCAGTTTAGCTGGATCAGCTTTTCCTGCAGGGCCATTTGTGTATAGAAAACACACACTTGTTGTAGCCGTCTATGCTAAGGGCTCCCTTAAATAACGTAATATTGTTTCTGACAATTTTCAGTGCAAATGTAACTTATTTCAGTTACATTATGAATCAAATAGACTTGGGGAATTAGCCTGGAAACTAACTGTTGACAAAATCGGGTTTTTTTAGAACTTTGAAAACATGAAACAACTGGAATTTTGAAGTCAAATGTTGACCTTCACAAATGAGAGGAAATAGTCAAGAATATCCAGGGGGTGTTTTGTGAATTAGCTACAAATTGTAACCAGACAACCAAGGGGTCCAGGCTGGGTCACTGCTTGAGCCAATTAAGCAGAGACAGGGTTGAGTCATGTATGAGCATTTATTCCAAAAATGCCGGCAGTATAGGAGAGCAGCAGGTCATCCACAAATATCTGCTCTGCACGTCCCATAAGCCAGCTGCTTACATTGGTTAGAAGGACAAAGATTACGTGGAAAAGTAAGAATTACAGATATGGGAAAGTAGACACGGGGGAGGGGGGGAGAGGAGGGAGAGTCACAGAGGGCGGTGCCTCCGGGCACCCTGGGACCAGATTACAGGTAATAGGAGCTGGGGGTTGTAAAGAGCAGGTGCCTTTGGGACTAGACTGTTTCAGTCACGAGGTTGTAAATCTTTCCAAAATGACAGGCAGTTCTCGGGACAGGAGGATGGACTGCATTCCGATGTTGGCTCCCAGGTCCCAAGGTGTACAGCTCCCAGGCAGGTGAGAATGTGCTTTCTCTAATCAGAACAGAACCATCATGGTTAACAGAGCATGATTAATATTTCTTATGCTTGTAGCTGGTCCCCAGTATTCTATTTCTGTCCCTAACGAAATGACTTTCCCTGAAAGAAAACGATGTCTACTTTTGTTTATAACCCACTTTAGAGTCATGAGCCCCAGTGTAACGTTGCTGCTCTCATGATAGCTTTTACGGGATTAGGACTAATTTTAAAGGTTATTAATGAGTGTGGCCAGGCGATATTGTGAAGTACTAACTACAGCATTCTCTCTCCTTACCTCCTCCCCAAATCCTTTGAATTTCTTCATATTTACCAGGCAGTTCAGGCCTCAACCAGACCGGATCACTTCAACTGCCCCAAAGGGAAGGAGGCTCAGCAGGGCCAATAGAACACAGCCTTCACATTCTTGGGTTTTAGGAGAAAACAAAACACACAAGTAGACAAAAACCAAACAAACCAAAAACCCAAACAAGGTGTCAGGAGTAAGGTTAAAAAATTTGGGTAATTCCTGCTGAGTCAATTGTCACCTTCCCGCTCTCCAATAATGCAAAGATCCCATGGGAAGGGGGCTATAGGTGGAGAGAGGAGAAAGTTGGGTAAAAAAAAACAAACAAAAAAACCAGTGTTGCCCTGGCTGGGTGGCTCAGTTGATTGGAGCATTGTCCCGTACACCAAAAGGTTGCGGGTCTGATTCCCCGTCAGGGCACATACCTAGGTTGTTGATTCGGTCTGGTTAATGTTTCTCTCCCTCTTTCCTGTCCTCTCTCTAAAATCAATGGAAAATATCCTCCAGTGAGGATAAAAATGAAAGAACCCAGAGTGTTAGCCTCTGCTAGGGCCTCTGAGATTACCTAAGAACATTGGGGGGAGGTATGATCGAACCCCTAGGTTTACTTGGGGAGTTCAAGAAGAGGGAACTAGGATCTCCCTTCCTGCCTGCACCCCCGGGAGGCAGAAGAAGCCTCTTAGAACTGCACTGTCTAATATGGTAGCCACTAGCACATGCAGCTATTAAGCCCTGGAAAAGTGCCTAAGCCGCATTGAGATGTGTCTACGTGTAAAACACATCAGTTTTTAACATCATAGTCTAAAAAAGAAGGTAAGAACATCTCACTAATAACTTTTATATTGACTGCATGTCGAAATGATAATATTTTGGATGTACTGGATCCAATAAAATACATTTATTAGAATTCATTTCACCTTCAATCAGGTGATCAAGGTCAACATCTACAGCCTTAGATCATGTTGATAGTATGTATCCTTGATGTGATGTGATACAAATGACACTTTACCTCTGTGATCTTCCTCACAAATACCTATAACCCCAATTTAATAATGAGAAAATGTTAGACAAATTCTGGTCCCAGATGAGTAATCCTCAAAATTCTCAAGGTCATCAAAAATAGGAAAAAAATATATATATATAATCCTATATAATAAAGAGCTAATATGCAAATAGTCATCACGCCCTTGCACCCCGGCACCA